CGGCGGTGCGGGCGGCCATGTTGCCCCTGCCCTTGGCGCCGCCGCCGCGGTCGAACTCGGCGCGGAAGTTGGCGGCGACCGAGTCGATGACGATGAGGCCCACGTCGCGGCGCTCCACCTCGACGGGCACCTGGTAGGTCAGGATGTGGTCCTGCGACTCGAGGTCGGGCGTGGCGATGCTGAGGACGCGGTCGAGGGACGGCCTGTCGTTTTTGTCGGTGCTGCCGCCGCCGCCGCCGCCGCCGCCGTCCTGCAGCTGCGGGTGCGAGGCCAGCATCTGGGCTAGGCGGCGCGTGGCCAGGGGCGCCTCGGTCGAGACGTACATGGCCGGGCGGCCGAGCCCGCGCGGCGGCGGCAGCTGGACGGCGAGCAGCAGCGAGAGCAGCAGCTGCGTCTTGCCGGCGCCCGACTCGCCCGCCACCTCGGTCAGGTAGCCGACGGGCACGCCGCCGCCCAGGGCGCGATCCAACTCCGGGTCGAGCGTGGTGATGGTGGACCAGGCGGCCGACAGGCCGGAGGGGTTGCTCCTCAGGCTGGTGTGGGCAGGAGGAGGAGCAGGAGGAAGCTCGGGACGGGACGGGATGGCGCCCAGGTCGACCTGCAGGGCCTGCACGACGGCGTTGGCCAGGCGCTGGATGGCTAGCAGCGGTTGGCCGGTGCGGCGGCCCAGGTCGGCGGCGTCGAGGGTCAGCAGGTCCGTGGTGGTGACGTGGTTGCGCTCCAGGGCCGGGACCAGCGGGCCGTACTGCTCGGTGCGGAAGCTGGGCAGCACCCGAAGCAGGTCCGTCATGGCATCGAGGGCGTCTTGCTATGGCTGTCACGTGGAGAGGCGCGTGGTGGCATGCAATGCGATGGGAGGAGGCTGTTGGCTGGTGAGGTCTGGATTGAGTTCAGGTGGAGGTCAAGTCTCGATGTTGCCTAGAACTAAGGCTCCACACAACCCCCAGATTTGGGATGGGTCAGTACTCTTTTAGCGGATTTTAGCGGAGCCTGGCAGGGTGTGGTGCCTGAATTAGCTAAAGCACACGCCTGTAGCTCAGCCTCGTCCCATTCCGCACGACAATCCATTATTCTCTTCCATGTCAATCCGCAAGCACCCAGCGACTCACCATTTCACTACTTTTCACGTACACAAATGAGGCTATCACCAAGGGCCGGCACACTGCTCCAGGCCTTGGCACGGAGGATCTGCACGGGCACCCGGGCTGCGCTGGGCAGATGCTTACCGAGCACCCGTCGGCAACAACAGGGGGTGCGCTAGTGGGTACCGCGCTCGCAAGAGAGGGGTATTATTGCAGATAAAGCCACGGCCACGTGCCTCGTCTTCCTTTCTCTTCAGAGATCTAGATAAGCCTACAATAGAACCTATCTTGCACCATTTGTCCGTCACAAGTAATGGGTGATATGTCACGGTTCGGCTAATGGAAGACCTCCCCACCTTGATCAAAAGGACAACCAGAACAAGTCGGTACTTGTTCTAAGTTGTTGGGCTAATCTCATGCCTTTTCCAAGGCTCCACGCCACAACAATGGGCCAGTCAGTCAGCCCAAGACTTGTCGACGCTGCGCATTTTTAGCCAAAGTGGCGTAGCGTACACTGTCGTGATGAAAACCACCATTCAAGTTTCCCGTGCCACGGGATGTTTATCCAGCACGACGAGTCCAAGTCTGCCGTACCCTGTACCCTAACCTCTGCGACACATGGGTACCGTTCTGTCGTCTTCTGCATCCTTATCCTTAGCAGCCCAGCGGTGTCTATCCTGAGAGGAGCAAGCGCCAGATCTGGGCGATATTGTCCTAGGCACGATCGGCGACCATCCTTGTAATATAACATCATGCCGACTATGGGTTTATATGTAGCCTTCCCGTCGTCGACGCAGCAGGCGATTTCCGCAACGTTTTCCATTCTGCAGCCGGTATAATACCACAGCTCAGTGGACATTGTGTAGGGGGGCGGCGAGGCTGGGATGAGCGACGGCGGATATTGGGTCTTGTAATTTGTTCCTGAGCATGAAGGGATGTCTACCTCTGAGTTCTCGAATGCTAAATATTTGATCCAAGGAACGTCGTTGTCTGGATCACATTCGTTGAAATATACGCGCGATGGCCGATTGGTTGTAGCGTAGATACGGTGAAACTTGAGCCCCGTGTTCGGGAAGTAGGCCCCAAACAAGACTACTCGTTCTGCATTGGTCAGGAGCTAAAGAAATGGATGTCAGTATTGGCGCACCAATAGTGAGGCTTCGAACGGCTCTCACCATCAGTGCTATGCACCCAAAAGATGGATGCCAGATGGCCCAAACCTCCTCGAGGTATTCGTCTGGGTCGATCGGCATATAAACCCATACTGTGGGGTCGCGGACACTGTCTAGCTCCGCACGGCAGGGGAGGTCGGCGCCGGGATGATGTGCGTAGATTTTCGATAGGCGAAGTCCAAAGATGCCGACCAAGTAACCTTTGGTGCCCGGTGCGTTGCAGTCAAAGGAGCTCATCCGTATGCGGCTGAGTCCCCCCCGCATAACCTGGCATGTTTTGAGGTCTATTACCCTGCAGTCCAGGCCAGGCATGGGCCAACCCGGAGCTGGGACGATGCTGTTGCGCTTGGGCGGGGCGTCTGTGGAATCCAAAAGATCCCTGATCTTCAAGCCCTATGGGTGTGTAAGCAGGTATCAGGGGACAGGTATCGGGGGACAAGGCCGGGGAAGCTTACGTCGGTTTTTGCTGTAAAGCAGAGGATCCCATTCCTTCGAGACAGTTCCGTCCACCATACTCCGCAAGCAGAGGAGTATAGCGGGCCATCCCTCGGCAGGTCGAAATGGACACCTCTGATGCCGAGATGATCATATTTGACATAAATGGACCTGACAACGCACCCTCGCCTAGCTTTGAAGACGCGCAACCCTTCACCTTCCGATGGTGAGACGTTGTACAGAGCCTGTACATAGGGAATACCCTCGATGCTGACGTATCGTGCATAGATGTCGCGAGATAGCTCAACCAGAGAGTCGATCGAATTGTCGCTGAGGGCAAGCTCTTGAGAGGTAACAATAGCGCATTCACGAACTAAATACCCCGCTACTATATCGCATATCTCCATGTGTAGTTGTTTTAGGGGGCCGAGTTTGAGCTTATTGGCGAATGTGTGCTGGATGTAGCCTCGTCTACGGGAGCGTTCACGGAGCGGTGGGCCGAAGCGATGCTCGGTGGCGTCGAGGAATTTAGAGGTTATCGGAAGAGGCCTGAACCCATAGCATTCATCGTGAAAACATGGCAGTCTGCGACCTCGCTTCTGACAGAGGCTCCGACCACAGAGATGGATCGCAATCCCTTCCTCGTCGTCCTCGAATGTGTCATGGCGGCGGAAAGCAAACGTAGTAGATACACGATCGACCCTGATTGCTAGAAACGGGATGAGCAGAATTCCATCGAACCGGTTATGACATCACAACCTACCGGCGACCACAAGCTCGCCATCCTTCAGCTGGAAGTGGCACAGCCTGCAGTGCGGCGCCTCGACGCAGCAGTGTTCGATGTCATCATCTTCAGCCATCTACCATGATGTAGGGTACGTACGGCCCGAGGGGGTTGGGACGTCTGGTTTTGTAAGGCCGTCAAGCACTGGAACAGGAATGTGCGTGTTTGTCGTTGAGGAACACGGAATGGGGTACTCGCGGCCGTGCGGTATCCGTCTGGGGGCGCGGCAATAGGTGGTAAAAGTCGGAGTCTTCGCGGTCTGGAGGCGCGATTTTCGTCGTTCAGATCAGCCTGGAGGAAAGGGTGGTTGGTATTCGGGTGGCAAAATGCAGGCGGTGAGAAATCGTGCAAAGGCGTCGTGAAAAAAGCCACAGCTTTGCGTAGCGACGCAGCAATCGATAATCGAGAGTCCAATTTAGCAACTATATTGAGTAGAAACGAAACTAGCAGTAGCGGGGTGCCTTATACAGTTTTAGATGATATCCAAAGTTCGCAACCCGCCCTGGGTCCCGTCAAACAAGGCCGTCCCACCAGCTTCCCACGCCCTGGAAGCAAATATGCCCACGCGGAAGAAGACGTTCGGCTCGTCCGAGGGGTGGAGAATGAGGCCCCACGCGTGCCTATTCGGCCCCGAGGGGCTCGCACACATGAGACATTCCTCCATCGGTGGGAGGCATTCGTCCAGATCCCAGGGTAGGTGCTGGGAAAACTCATCCTTGACTTCTCGGATGGACTCGGGGTAAGTGCCATCCTCGTTATCAAACCGCAGCCCGTCGTCCCAGTCGTAAAAGTCCGCGCTACCCCCCGAGCAGGCACTGCAGAGGAGGAGTAGCACTAGGTCCCCCGCCGGCTCCCCTGCCGGATCTCCGGCCCAGTCCAGGACGCAATACGCCGCGTATTTGCCTCCCTTGTTGGCTCTCCAGTGCGGCTGCGCCCTGCCTGGCCTATCAAGGAGTACCAGGTCCGACGGCATGGGGACCGTCCTTGCCGCAACTCTGAGCCGACCGGACGTGGTGGTCCCGTAATGGTTCGGGCTGTCGCGCACAGTTGTCCCCTCGATTGTCTCGTACTCTGCCCGGACGTGACCCCTGAGCGGGAAGTCGGGGACGTGCTGCACGACAGCGACTCCAACCTGCCCGAGCGGGCTCCACGACGGCGCTATGAAGGGACTGGGCGCCCGCAGAGCTCCCAGGTGCTCCCGGAGCGTACGGCTGCCGATGCAGCCGCGGGTGATGATGTACCGCCAGAAAAGCCCACCCGGAAAGAAGGGCTTCCAGAGGCCCGCCACATAGTCGGCCGGCGAGAGCCCCAGGGCCTCGGCGAACTGCTGTGCCAGGCCGGCGAGGGAGGGCAGGCGGTCGGTCGGGTCGGTAAGGGAGCGGTCCGTGCAGCGCGTGGTGACCTCACCCCAGTCCTCGGCGGCCTGCCAGGCCGCCCCGTCCCGGCGCTCGAGTATCCGCCTGGCCGCATCGATGGTGCCCGCCAAGACGCCCCGTCCCGGCACGTTATGAACGCGGCCCGTCTCAGAAGTTGTCCTCTCGAGGCAGTTGATGTGCAGCTTGTCGGCCCCGATGACGAGGCAGCGCGTGGACAGCATCTGCTCCTGGTAAACCCAGCCGCGAGTGGCCCATCGGGAACGGCCCAGGTCCGGCAGGTCCAGCCACTCTTCCCCGTCGTTCCCCTCCTCGGGCCTTTGCAGCAGCATTTTCTCGCCCAAGAGGTCAGCTCGCTCGGAGGATCGGAAGGGGAAAACAACGCAATCGTCGTTGGATCGCTCTAGGAAGGCCTGGTTGCAAGATTCTGATGCGGTGGCGCAGATTGTAAGGTGCGAGTGGTGGTACACCTTGCCCATCAGCTCGCTTTCGTACGCCCAATCAGTCCTGTCACCCTGAATAATGCAAAGTGCGTCGATCCATAAATAGCGGATATCGATTGCGCGGCAAGCTGCCACGGCGTCCTGCATCACCCTCGACATGACGGCGAGGGGGATGCCATCGAGGCGCTGACTTATGGTATCCTTCGTGGTTGTAAGCTGTGTAGCCGCTTCCAAGGGTGGGCCCCAACAGTAGCTCAGGGTTGCGTATTTTGCTGCATTGCCAGCCTCGGAATCCTTGGCGGTAATGATGAGCTTGGGGACCGAGTTGGAGACTTTTAAGCCAAGGTCGATCAAGCGAGTTGGAAGGAACGTTCCAGATCCTCTGGGGCGGCATCGCGGGTGGTTCTTTTCGCAGTCGGCTAATGTGGACTTGATGAGGTCTATGTTTCGCGCGCAGAGGAAAGGCTGCAGAGGTTCGACACCGAGCCAAGACGCAAGCTTGTCTTGAGCACGGGGAGTATCAGCAGGGTGCCAGCGAGGTTCGATACTTCCAGGCGGTAAAGCGGGACCTTGTCTCTACCTGTTAGTGGCTTGATGGGAAACTTGATGCTGTAGTGCGACTTGCTGGGAGTGCCGGGCGGCAGCTCAATATTGACGTGGAGCCAAAGCGACCCACTACTGGGGATTCCAGGGTCAGTGGCGCGCGCAAGAGCGTAGGCCAATGTCACGCCAATGTCTCGGTGAGGGTCGACGCCCTCATCAAAGTAATCCAAGTCGGGCGTGATGGCGCTCGTCAGCTCGTCCCAGACAAGGTGGCAGGTCTCGCAGGTCTCTCCGAGCCGAGCCAGTGCGGGGAGCTCGGGGAAGCTGTCAGGATATGTGCCGAGACTGCATTCTCCGGCTCCTTTCTCCTTGGTCCAACAAGTGCCGTCGAACGTCTGGTCATTGCAGCGCTCGCAGGGGCTGCCCATCCTATCAATCTCAAACTCAGACCGGAGCGGGCCTGATGAAAAGGGATGAACTTGAACGTCTATCTGCACAGGCTCAATCTGAACTCGATGCCAACCTCCCACATGGCTGACCCCGACGAGGCGCGAAGAGCCACTCGTGTAGCACGGCAGCCGATTGGACGCGGCTTGGGTGGCGCAGATGCCCCACGTATGTTATTTGTGGTGGAATCAACCATATTCTCTGCTACCTGTTGGACTTGTTGACTGCATACCCTATTCTTGTATGGGAAAAGGCGATTTTATATCCGAATTCGGGACATGAGTTCGTGACCATTCTACCACCGCAGCCTCCCAGCGTTCTCGGTAGAGGTTGAACAGACGTCTGGATACAAGTGGGTATTGCGTGAGGCGTGGGAAATCACCTCGTTCAAGGCTGAGAGCAAATGGCTGGGGATATTGGTATGCTCTATGCTCTGGTCCAGCTGTACTTGGCAACCGGCAAGTAGACCTCCCGTTGTATACACTCAAACCTATCACGGCTACACCAAGGGCCTATCATACAGCCGACAAAATGTCCGCTCTTGCGAGACCTCACACAAGACGACTTACCACAAGGCGACCGCCGTGGGGCGACATATCCCTCTGCTTTGGGCACACATGTGTGATCAAATGTGCCGTGTTCCGTGACGTTGCTTTTCTTTTTATTTCTCCGATTTTGCGTAGCGTGCCAACACCCACGCTTGGCTTCCTTTTCCCTCTCTTGCAGCGACCTCCCCTGGTACTTCGACCCCCTCCTCACCCTCGGCTTGGTTGCTCCCTCTGCAGACGACGGGAGTTCTCGTCGCGCATGCCCTCTCGTTCTTCTTCCCATTGACGCGTGCGGCTCTAGTCTGGCGCCCAAAGGCCAATGGTCGCCATGCCCGGCCTTCTCATATGGACTCTACTTGTGTACGTCGCCACCTCTGTCCACGCCGTCGCACTTGGCCCAAAGGCGACGGCGGCGGCGACAACAACTAGGACAACGCCCGCCGTTATGGCTCTCCACAATTCGCTTCATGGCGGCGACGGCCCGAGGCCTACGGCTCCTGCGGCCATCCACGAACTGCTACGTCGGCAAGGTAACGATGATATCGAGTACATCGTCGCCCCAGACAATACGTGCGGCTATATATACAAGTCAGAGGATGAACTGCAGGCCGTCTGCACAGCACAGCCCTCGGGACGATGTGTCATGATGAGGAACGTCGCCTTGACGTCGGGCATAATTGGATGCTGTGACGGCAAGAGCTGCGTAAGTTTCTTGCTGTTGGAGAATTGACAGAGCCGCATCTGGCTTTTAAAAGACTGAATGGCTAATAACCAACCACCCTTGAGCCATGCAGAGCTTCGCCACCGAGTGTGTGCCCTACCGCCAAATCGAAGCGGGCAACTGTGACGAAAAGTGTATGGCCAACACCAACGCGCTGATATGGTACAGTACAGACATGCTTGCCCGTGCCTCATACCCGTACCTCATACCCAGACGCACGCAAGCTTCCGGAAACTCGTGAGCAGCTCCGGCTAACCGTGAGGCATGGGCGACAACCTACGAACGAAACAGTTCCTCATCCGCCTCCCCATACTGCAACATAATGTCGTACACCAACGGTGTCACCGACTACTTTTGCAGCGCCACCCAGGTCTTGCTACGCATCCCGGCCCGGACCACCCGCATCTCGGGCCCTGCCAGGATCTACGCCACCCTCACCAACAGCCACGGCGTCGACTTCAACACGGTGGGGGCGCCGTTCATGACGGCCACCACGAGCTCCACCAGCGCGGCACGCAGCTCCACGGCCGCGACCGATGCCCCCGCCGCCGCCTCCACCACCGCAAACGGCAGTCAAGGCGATGACGGCGCCGCCGCCCCGACCGTTGCCGTCGGGGCTCTGGTCGGCTGTGCCCTCGGGGGCGCCGCGGCCGTCGCGGCCGTCGTTGCGGGCCTGCTCTTCTGGCGTCGGCGCAAGGCGAAACGGGCAACAGCAGCAGCGGGGGCGGTTGGGAACAGCGACAGACACGACGCCGCCGAGTTGCCGGACCAACCCGCCGCGGCCGAGCTTTCAGACAAGGCCGCGGCCGGGATGACGATGACGCCCACCATCCCGGTGATCCACGAGGCGAGCGGGAGCGTCATCGGCGCAGCTCGCGACCAGAACAACAACCACAGGGGCGAAATCTACGAGCTGCCATAGCTGTTATGATATGCTGTGTGTGGGGGGTTAGGGGGTGGTCAAAATGGCCTTCTTGTGAAATAATTCGGTACCTAGGCGTTGCCAGCTATTGAACTCGCTAGGGAACCATGCAAACGGTAGCAAAAAAGAAAAAGGATAAAAATATACAGCCCTGAGGATTCCCAGTGGTCGCCCACCTAAGCCTGTGCCCACTTGGAAACAAACGTTTTGGGTTTTAAAAAAAGGACGCATTGCACACCACATTGCTCTGCGGGTGAAAGTATGAGCATGTATGGAACAACGAGGAGGAATGGAGGTTTCGTATGGCAGAACAGGCCCGGAGGCCCGAACTGTCAGGGCTATTATCTATCTGGAGGTCACTTATTGCGCACATGCACCTCCTACACGTGTTCTTCCAAAAAAAAAAAAAGTCGAGGAGCAGAGGATATGACATGGACCTTTTTTTTGCGCACACAGAGATTGTCTTGTGGCGCTGCCTCGTATCGGTTTGCGAGTTCGCAAAGCCAAGTGAAATGGTGGGCTATGATTATGTACGGCTTCTCCTCTATCTCGATCTTGTCCCCTGAAGCCCGTTTTGGGGCGCAATACTTCACCACGCTCCGCAAGGCGATGATGATTTCGGGACCGCATATCCTGACACTTTATGGTGGCACGGACAACGCAGTCCGTTTCTTGGCGGTATTTCCGAGATGATTGTCCAAGACTAGGCCGAATCGCAAGTACCGGAGTTTATGCACAACCTCGAACGAAGGAATGTCGCCATCATCACTGTCAGGCTCCGGGAGGTTCTGAGCAAAGGTTGAAGCCCCGCTGCCGTCGCCGCAGTTGGCCCACGTCCTGGCGAGCGATGCGGCCGGCAGCGACAGCCACGGGCTCGGCCCTAACCCGTGGCGGAGGCTCCTCGAACCGTCTAAGCAGGGGGGCCGCGACGGCAGCCCGGTTACAAGGACAATGGCAGTGGAATCGAGAAGGCTACCTGAGAAATGGGGAAGCTTCCAGGACAGCTGTCCAAACGAGGACCGCCTTGATCTCAGCCGCGACGAGCCGACCATACATGGCATCATGTATACCGTGCGGTACATGAACCTGGCATGGAAGAAAAAGCGCCAGAGCCACATTATAGCTCGAACGCTCCAACCCTTCCGCAGGTTCTGTGACACCCTCGACACCCATAACAATCTTATCAAAATCCTACCCGAAGGTAGTGAATACTCATGGATCTTCATGGGTTCGCTCAACGCAATCATCCGCGTCAGTGTCAATCACGAACAGGTTGCGGAGCTTTGGGGCGGCGTTAGACGACATTAGCGAGCGGATGGCCGACCTCAGGGCAGACGTTGAAATGTACCCGACAGAGGACCATATCTTCTTTTTCATTAGCAGCTTCATGGATCGGATGATGGAGGCTCGCGCCAATCCCGGCCTGACTCCTTCAATCAAGATCTCGGCCAGAAATCCCAGGTGGATGCCAAGCGGATCGGGAGCGTGGCGCAGCGAATCCATCTGCGTGCGGGAGGGTGCCTCCGGGCCGAGATCCGTGCCATGCGCGAAGATATTAAGCGGGACCACCAGCGGCTGGGGCTTCAAGGCGAGGCAAGGAGGCGAGAGGAAGAAGCAGACCGCGAGGAACGACGAGCGCAGGAGCTGCGGCGCAAATCCACACAGACCTCAGCGCCAATCGGAAGCAGCTAATGAACGACTTAAACTGGCTGCTAGCTGAACAAACGAGAACTTCAATCAGGAACAACATATGAACCCAGCTTCCAGTGGCAATAGGCGCAGGATTTTACGCCGAAGCTGAGGAACGCCCGCCCTGGGCCTCCGCGACCTCGCAGTCCCGATAGCACCCAGCGTCTTGAGAATTGCGCGTTATGCTTCAAACCTGCCGCCCCTCCAGCGCTATCCATCAGCCACCATCCCCTAGTAGCCTTGACTCAGCTTGAGCTTTCCCCCAGTTCCATAGTCGAGTCCAAAAACGAGGCATTCTTTCTTCCAGCTCAGCTGGGCGGGCAGCGCAATTTCGACGATGAGTAGCAAGGATGACAAAAAAGAGTCGCTTGATCAGCTTAGCCAGCAAAACAAAGCGTCCATCATCTCTCAACTCGTCGATATCGGCGCCGAACACAACCAGGAAGAACACAAGAAATTCCGTACCTTTGTCGAAGAACTCTGCTGTTTCCGACTCGAAAACGCGTCAGAAGCTACCACGCTGCGGCGAACATCCATCGACGCCTTCAGTAACCGGCGATATGTGGCGCTGTCGTACACTTGGGATCCCTCAAACGACGAAAGCCATGAGAATAAACGCTTCTACATCCAGGACCAGCATACTCCCTCCTCTTTTACGCCCTCGCTCGTTCGGGACTGCGTGTTCGACCGCGCGCTCCACTACATGCAACACAAGGACGTCGACCTGCTCTGGATCGACCGACACAGCATCTGCCAGGACGCGTGCCCGGGGGGGCCCGACGGCGCACCCTGCTCCCCCAGCCATGCCGTCTGCGCTCAGAAGCGCGGCGCCCTGCAGGCCATGGACCTCGTCTACCAGCTGAGCAAGCACCCCGTTGCGCTGCTGGGTCGGCCGATTAAGGATGCGCCCGAGCTCCGCCTCTTGCACCGCGTCCTGTCCGGGGACCTAGTCGACGGCCAAGAAGGAAGGAGCGGTCCCTCGCCCCGGCTCTCGCGGGGGGCGGCTTCAATCCCCGACGCGCGCGCGGCCCTGTCGCTGCTGCACGAGATCACGCGGGACGACTGGTGGACGCGCGCGTGGACGTTCCAGGAGAACTATCGCGGTGGGGTGTGGATGCATCTCCTCATCCGCCACCCCCCGTCGCTCGAGGACCTCAAGCTGCAGCTCAACGCGGAGAATGCGCGATTCGGCGCAGAGAAGGGCGGTGGCGTGCTGGGGAGTGTACCGCGCGAGCTGTGCGTCAAGTCCGTCACCTTCTCCGAGCAGGCAACCCTGCTGTGCCAGGCTCTCCGCGGGGTGGCCGTGCACCCGACAGCGGATCAGACGCGGCAGATCGCGGACGTGGAGCGGGCGGCCGGGAGATACCAGCTCTTGGTCCCCAAATCAAGCTCCATGACCCCGCGGGTGCTCGCCGACGTCGAGTCCCGCGAGCTGTCGCAACCGTGGGACCGCCTCGCCATCGTCGCCAACTGCTGCCGGTACCCAGTTCGACTGAATACGGAGGCGCTCAGCCAGCGCAACCACAGCATCAGCTTGTCTCTGTTGGCCATGTGCCTCCTCAACGGCGAGATCCTCGACGACGACGGCGACGACGACGACGTCGCATCAGTGGGCGGGCTGACAGCCTCGGGATTCTTGGAAAGGCTCATGTTTAAGAAATTCCAAGCACCTGAAAACGAACACCGGCGTCTTACGTTTACCAAGGGCTGCCGCCTGAACGATGTGAAGCTGACGGCCGGGGGCATCGTGGCCCGTGGCCACCTGTGGAAGCTGGGGCCCATCGTCCGTACTAGGAGTTTCTCGCAGACGCTGCCGTTCGTCAAACGTCCTTACGGTCTTATAGAGCGGGAAGACCGGAGGCGCCTGCAGCAGCTGGTGTTCCACTTAGAGGGCACCCTCCACTACGGGTTTGCCGAAAGACTGGAAGGGTACCTCGAAAGCGACGGCAGTCGCGTATCTCGCGCCGGGGGCCAGCCCCAATCCTTCGCCGAGGCGCATCTTCTGACCATGGCCAAGGAGCTGGCGGCAGCGATCCGCGCGGGCCGAAACCTCAGGCTCGGGAGAATCTGGGGCCGAGAGCCACCGCCCTCCGGCTATTCTGCTATATTCATCATGCCGGATGGAAGCCAGAACTGTGGCGCGCAGGGAAATCCCAGGGCGCAGCCCTCACATGTCTTCACGTCCATGTGGCCGGGCGACGACGACTCGTCTGACACCATCGCGCACGACACAGACTGCTACGCGTCGCTTGGGGTCGACATTAAAGAGCCTCAAGCTGAAGATGGCGCGCCCCAGTTACGCATTCGGAGCTGGCTGTTCGGCATGTGCTTTTTTAAACGCTGCCCGCGGGTGCCGGTAGTGCTTCCCTGGCCGAAAGCACTGCAAGAAAATGCAAAGAAATATGAAGGCAGCTTTGCTACACGCGAGGGCTAGCCTTTCCCCAACACTAAAGTTACACCTAATAACTTGTGTATATAGCCCCCTTCGTGACGTTGGTCCCGTTAGCTAAATTGCTTCTTCTTTAAAGCTCAGTTGGTCAAAAAATATCAAACAAAAATACAAAACATACAACACCGAGGATTCCACAGGGTCTACCAGAGTCTTGGCAAGGGGCACATTTACGAGGGGATAATGTGGTAGGAGCTCATGGTGTTGGACTTGGCGGCCTCTTGTGGAGTTCCAAGCAGGTACACGATGGACGTCAACTGTCAGCTGTTATAACCACCTTGAATCTCAAAGCGATTCCCGGACTTCGACTACATGTACAGCGACCTGTCCACCCCACACCAACACCATGCGAGGCTGGCTGCGGGGCTGTCGCAGGCAACTTCCCCGCCATGGACCCCCGGAGCACAACCACCTCAGCGTTGGTGAGTTATCCCGGGACCCCGATTGTTCGTAGCATGTCGCGTCCGGAATGGTGTCCAATCCTGGAAGCTCTGTCGGCCTCCTCGACGATGAAGTCGCAATTGCCGACCTCGCGTCGTCCTCGACGCTGTGCGACGCCTGTCGAGCCATTTTCAGCGCCGGCCCTAAGCCTCAGCCCTCCTTCGACTCCCCGAGCTGCTTCGTTCATCACCGCTCTGGCGGCCTGGCATCCGCGGCCGAAAGCGGCTGCGTTATCTGCAAACAGCTCGCACCAGCCGGAGCCGGCCGCGACCAGGGTCCACCCGAGACGCAAGACGAAGAAGTGACGCATTGGGAGCTGGGGCATTGCGAGCTGTGGAGGGGGAGGGGGGGTTCGGTCCCAGCAATCCCAAATAGCACGAACGAGGACTTATTTATGGTCAGCATATTTTCGCCTGCTGGAATTGGGAAACTACAGCGTGAAGTTCGTCGCAGATTGTCCTTTGTAATCGCCCCGTGTAAGTTGGGTTCTGTCTTCCCGAACCACGAACTTGGGCCTTGTGGTGGTGCTATGCTTGTACGTAGGACTCCGCAGTGGACAAGCCCATCGGCACGTCCTTTTGCCCAAAACCTGACCCTTCGAAACTCGTGAACCTCGTCCGCGGCTGGGTGGAAAGTTGCCAAAACCAAGCACATTGGCAATGCGCAAAGTATCGGGGTGTTCGCCGCCTAAAACCGCGACGTGTGATTGAGATTCTCGACGCAGCAATGCTGCTCCGCGAAGTTCCGGATAAGGGGTGGCAAAATACATATATCACTTTGAGCCACCGCTGGACGACTCCGGAGCCGCCCAAGCTGCGGCGAGAAAACGCAAACGAACTGCATACCACCGGCATACCCTTGGCATCCCTGCCCCAGACCTTCCAGGACGCGGCCGAGATTTGCCGCTGACTGGGAGTAAAGTACCTGTGGATCGATTCGCTCTACATCTACCAGGACTCGAAGGCTGACTGGGAGCGCGAGGCCGGCATGATGGGCGACATATACGGCGGCGCCCTGATCAACATCGCGGCGACAGACGCCGGCGCCGGCTGCGAGCGGATGATACCGCGCGAGCGGCGCGCACAGCCCCTCCTGCCGGTTATTTCCTCCCCCGGCAACGCCATGCTCCCGGAGCGTGGGGCCGCTGTACTGCATCCGCACAAGGCCTTCTTCTTCCAGGTGTTGGAGTCGATGCTGATGGGGAGAGGCTGGGTGCATCAGGAGGTGTGCATCGCCCCGGCGACGCTTTACATGACCGCGACGCAGGCGTGGTGGCGCTGCAGCGCAACCACGTGCAGCGAGACGTACCCAGATGGCATCCCGTTGCTTCTGGAGCCGCCCCTGGAGATGGATCACCTCAGCCTTCTCCGCCCGGGCGCAACTGGAGAGGCACCAACCAACGGCGGCCCTGGAACAGCAACAATAGATCCGGACCAGCGAGGCCTGTACCTGGTCAAATGGCGCATTTATCGCCGCTGCTTACTCGCGAGCAGACTTCACCGTCGCATCGGACCGCCTCGTCGCGCTGGCAGGGGTGGTCAGCATGGCGGCCGGAGTGCTTGGCAGCTACTACTGCGGAATGTGGTACCAGCCGTCTACCACAAAAGAAAACAACCACTTCGTGTACCAGCTTTTTTGGACACCAGGTGCCTCGGGTGTGGCGACAAGGTCGAACACCCCAGGAGGGCACCACCCGCCCGGCGGTCGAGAAAGAAAGCCGTTCATCCCGACATGGTCATGGGCCAGCAGGAGCTTCATAGACTATCCGCCCATCAACGGCCCGCAGCGCGACCGCCTCGCGCACCTGGCGACCCCGCCGCCGATCGGCGAGCTCGACATGTTCGGCTGGCCCCTGACGGCCGAGGACGCCACGCTGCACCTCCGGGGGGTTCTGCTGCCCCTTTTCGCAATGCCTCACTTCTTCAACCGCCTCGGCTTCCAGGCCTGGCCCCGCCCCTTGGGAGATGGTCCCCTGCCGAGCAACGGCAGGCGGCACGGCGTCTGGGCCATATTCGACGACGCGCAGGAGCTCGCGGAGGTCAAGGAGGAGGTGGAACGCACCCCGGGCGGCGGAGACGAGCCCCTGCGCGGGCTGTTCTTCCTGGTGACCGAATATGCCGACAAGAGGTTTGCGAGCCTCCATGGCCTGGTCCTGCGAGAGCGGTTTCTGCCAGGCTGCGACGGCAGCACAACCGGACGACGACGCATATTTCCGCGCGCCGGAGTCTTCTTCCCGAACCAGTGCTGCGGGTACCCGGAGGAGGACCCGCTGCGCGACGCTACGGCCGTGTTTGACGACTTCCAGATGGCGAGATATGGCAGGGCGGCGCTAGAGGCGGTGGAGCTGCGTCCGGAACACCGCGCGCTGGCCGACGCGGAGGCAACGCTAGACGACATCTATCTGTGCTGAGGTGCACATGTGCCGCTTACATGGGGTTTGGAGCTTGGGTATACATACATGAACGTGCCCTGTACACGGGGTGTATTACATACCATCATGGCTAAAATTGGTATTTTGCGGATCCCTAAAGGTGGTAGGTGCGCTGCCTAGATCTCGCCAGTCCCTTCGGTATATTCCAGTGGGCATGTCGTATGTACTAGTCGTTGTTGGGTTTGCCCAGTAAGTACCTCCTAGTCAGGTTACTTATTAGCCATTGCAATACAAAGTTACAACCCACGCTGCCAAGACGTGCTTGTATATCCTCTGGGCCCAGGCGAGCGAGGCACATTTTGTTATCAAAAAAAGGATCGAATTCGCTTTACGCTTGGTTGTTTGAGCAGCTCGTCCTGTGCCATTTTTACTGTAGCGTCCGTGCGGCTGTCATGCCGCCACTAGGACCTTCAGACTGTCCGACAAACAGCCCGCCGGTGACGGGAGAAGTCTCGAGGACTCCATAGATCATAGCGTACGAGGTGCCCAGGGATTTGCCACCAACTCCCTAGGTATCAAAACTTGCGGTGGTAGCTTGTGCAGTCCATCCCAAATAACACTACAAGGGAAAATAAAAAACAAGGCATTGCAAGACAGTAAATCCGACACGTGATATCGTAGCCTCCCATAAGAAAAACAACAACACTCAGTACCAAGCAATAAGGCCATGCTCTCATGGTGATAAAAACAACTGGGACCCAACCTCCAGACCAAGAAGTGAACGAACTGGGCTGTACGTGGGCGGCAGCCACAGCCGCAAAGAAAAATGGAATCAATACAGTAACGAAGCCATGTGGGCAGGGGGTATAAAGTGGGCTCATTCTCCGGTTGCCGCCTCGGACTCCTCTTGTGGCGGTTCCCTTGTGATTTCGCACGCCTGGGCGAAGAATATCCTTGCAAGCTTGTTGCCCTCGTTTGCAATGCTGTAGTAGTTGCCTTTAGGTTTTTTTTTCACCAGTTAGCATAAACAACAAGCAGACGAGCTAAACGTATGGGCACCAAAACATACCTCGTGGCACAAACCACATGCCCCCCTTGCCGAGCGAGAAGGTGGTCTCGTTGACCATGACGGTGACGCGGCCCGAGTGGACAATGAAGGTCATGTGCATCTTACGCGAATTCTTGGCCTTCTTCTCCGAGCCGGGCGGGAGGTCGACGACGCCGGTGCCGAAGAAGGGCAGGCTGAGCGTCTTTGTGAAGCGGAAGGTGGAGCCGAGGATCTCGCGCGTCTGTATCGCGCGGTTCGAGTAGGCCATGACGTCCTCCTCGACGGCCACCTGGTCGTCGACGCCGGGCGGGTCGAACTCGTGCTCGGGCTCCCACACCACCACGTTGCCCACCACCTGCCCGCCCTCCTCCTCCCACGGCTCCTCGTCCGGGTCCTCACCGTCCGAGTCGTCGC